CACCCCACCCAAGCACAGCACCCACCTCCCACCATCTGAAGTGAACGAAGCCACCAGCCTCGGGCCCAAGGAAGGGGTTGTAGGTAAGAGGTCAAAGCGTCCCTGCTGGAAGGAGCACACAGCTGCCTGGCTTTCTAAATCAAGTCCATTTTATTTGAAATTTTCCACATGCCACACATGTACATGAAAATTCCCATCCAGAAGGTAGTTTGCTACAGGGAACACCAAAGTCAGGAGCAGGCATCACCGTGAGACGCCATGGGGGCAAGTCAGCGGGACGGGGACAGGGAGGTTGGTCATCAAAAGGCAGGTAATGCATGTAGGGTCATTTAGCACCTGGTCATGAGATATGGCAAGACCCCCGGGGCCAGGGAAAGGTCTCGCCTTAAAAACACGTGGAGCTCTGCTGTCTCTGGGCAGTCTCACGCGGATGGGCAATGCTCAGAGGGCGGCGAAGGAGCTGGAGGGAGGTACCACCAGCGGCTGCAGGGGAGGGGCACGCACACACACAGGCACGCACATGCTTGCCCGTGAACACCCCCCGGCACACACACACCCTTGCACACTCCCCACCCTCTGCCCCAGACACATCAACAACACAGCGGTCCAGGCTCTGGCTCACTCCCTGGGAGGCTTCTGTGGCCAGGGTTCCCCCGGCAGGTCTGGCGGCAACAGCTTGGAGAAAAGCCTCCCAGGACCAACCCTCATTCCCAGGTCCACTGGTCTGGGGCGGGAGTAGCCAGGTGTTCTGATCTGGGGTTTTCCCGTAAACCGACCCCTTCAGCATTTCTGCTTTATTTTTTGTTTTTTTGAGACAGGGTATTTCTCTGTGGCCCAGGGTCGAGGGCAATGGTGTGATCTTGGCTCACTGCAACCTCCAACTCCTGGCCTTAAGCAACCTCCTGTCTCAGCCTCCTGAGTAGCTGGGACCACAGGCACACGTACAATGCCCAGCTAACTTGTTTTTAAATTTTATGTAGAGATAGACTCTCACTATGTTGCCCAGGCTGGTCTCGAACTCCTGGGCTCAAGCAATCCTCCTGCCCCAGCCTCCCAAAGTGCTGGGATGACAGGCTTGAGCCACTGTGCCCGGCCCCTCCCATGTTTCTTGAAGGAGCTTGAGAGAGTAGAGGAGCCCTGATAACAGCTGGCCCGAGTCACGGCCACCACAGCGTTCCTCAGTGTCTGTGGGGTTTGTGTTCATCATGCCCAGTAGATCTAGAAACTTCTAACTTGGACCCACACCCCCAAGTGCAAATGAGACCCATGGCCATCATGAAGAGCCCCCCAGCGTCGTGGTCAAGGCTACCAGGAACTGGCAGCAGCGCTCTGCCCACGTCCACAGGAGGCGGTCGACGTCTCCTCTGCCTCCGGTTTAGCGGCCCCACACTTCATCGCCACACCTTGGCCATGAATTTCACAAGCTTTCTTACAAGAGCTCTGTAATGGGCCAGGCGCGGTGGCTCACGCCTGTTATCCCAGCACTTTGGGAGGCCGAGGCAAGAGGATCACTTGAGGTCAGGAGTTCAAGACCAGCCTGACCAACATGGTGCAACTCCGTCTCTACTAAGATACAAAAATTAGCCGGTCATGATGGCGGGTGCCTGTAATCCCAGCTACTCGGGAGGCTGAGGTGGGAGAGTCGTTTGAACCTGTGAGGCAGAGGTTGTAGTGAGTGAGCCGAAATCGTGCCACTGCACTCCAGCCTGGGGGACAAAGCAAGACTCCCTCTCAAAAAAAAAAAAAAAATCTGTCATTTTCAGATCCTAAAACGAGCAGATAACAGGGGAAGAGGAGGTGGGAGGCTGTCACAGCACTGCCTGCTGGGAGATCAGGGTCTCCGCATCCAGGGCTCCAGCACCCTCCATCCCTGCAGGAGCACTGCTGGCACCTCCAAGGCCGAGACACTGATCTGGAGCTTCATTGGCTGGCAGGGGCCCAGCCCTCAGCTGTTGCAGCCCTACTGCTCTAGGCCTGGCCCCTCCATGAGCCCCCCAGGCCCAAGCCTGAGCCCAGCCCCAGTCCCCTGGGCCCAAAGGCCTGTGGCTCTGGGTCCGGGCACAGGGAGTGGTTGAGGGAGGGCGCTGCTGAGCTGGCAGGCACGCCTTGTGTGTTTTTAGCGCCAGAGGAGCTCAGCCCATCCTGGCTGCAGTCCTGGGTCGAAGCAGCGAGTGTCCTCCCGCCCTGTGCACACACAGGTCCCGGGATGGCCTCTTGGAGAAGAAACGTCTCAGGCCTGTGTCCTGGCAGGCCGTCTGGGGGCAGCGGATGGCAGGGATAGAGCCCGCCTCCTCTGCTGCAGAAGGAAGCAGCCCTCACCCAGCTCCCCTGGGCTGGACGGGCCCTTGAAAGCGAGAAAAGCCTCATACAGCAGAGAGGAGCACCCAAGGCCCAGAAAGGCACCTTTGCTCTGGGTCCTCAGGCTCAAGTGCCTGCCCTGGGCCACCTTCAGAAGCCTGGTGGGGCCCAGTGTTGCCTGGTGACATGGAGCAGGCGGCGGGGCAGAGGCTGCGGGACAAGGGGCTGCAGGGTCACAGGCCACAGGGCCATGGGGCCGCAGGGCCAGGAGGAAGTCAGGAGAATAAATAGCAGCTAGGTCTGGGGTGAGCTGGGGGCACAGGCAGGACGGGGCAGCCAGAGAAGTAGGAGCTCTCCCTTTTAAAGAACAAAGGGATACATACCCTTTCCCCTCCACCCTCTCTCCAACCCCTCAGTCTCTCCCTCACACTCACACAGGGAAGATGTGACTCACACACACATGCACACACAGGGCATAGGTTTACACAGGCACACACACACAGGCACACGTACACACAGGCACATGTGCACACACAGGGCACAGATACACGCAGGCACACGTTCACACAGGCACATGCACGCAGGCACACGTGCACACAAAGGGCACAGGTACACATAGGCACACCCATGCAGGCACACGTGCACACACAGGGCACAGGTACACGCATGCACACGTGCATGCAGGCACACACACGCAGACACACGCACGCAGTCACGGGGACAAGTGCTGACCACGCTCCTCCGGCAGGCAGCATATGGTCTGCCACTTAACAGCCAAGCTCTGCCAATTGGGGACCATTAGGGTGGGTTCTTTTCCCAGCATCAAATGCTGCAGAATATAAATTGCAACTAACACTGGTGCCAAAATAGCACTTAGTGAAAATAAGCACGTTATTAACATCTGGTGAAGCCCATCTCGGGGGTTGCAGCAGCGGAAATTCTTGCTCCAAGTCAAAGGATGGTTGCAGGGGACACTAAAAATACAAGGTCTACTGTTTGGGGGGTGCTTTCCAAGGCACTGCACCCCAGCCTCGGGAACGGCCCTTCCCCCAGTCCTGTCTATGAGTATAAATTATGCTGCTGGTTAAAACCGCTTGCTCATGAGAATAGGACACCCAGGCGTGATCACACACACGCTAGGATGCATTCCTGGTGCAAACGCAATTCCCTGGCCCCAGTGGGGAATGTTCTGGAAGAAAGGAGAGGGGCGCAGAGCTGCAGCGCCCAGAGACAGGCTCACTGAGGGTCCGGGAGACTCCCAGGCCACCTGCCTCCCTCCTGGGCCACATCCCCTGCCTGCTGCACCTCAGTCTGAGAGCAAGAAGTGGTCAGTACTGGGAGGTACCACACCACCGGATCTGATCACTGCGCCTGGTGGTCTCCAGGTACCATTTTAAAGCTCTAAAGAAAAGCCCAGGAAGTGTGTGTGTGGGCCGTGGGCAGCTGGTCCTGCGGCCTGCAGGTCAGGAGACGGGGCCAAGGGGTATGGCTCTCAGAGGCCGTGACAGGAGGGCCAGGAGGCCTCTGGGAGGCAAAGGTGTGGTCTGGTGCTGGTCCCACCATCAGGCTCTGCTGAAATCAGCCTGCGGACGGGCCACTCCAGCCAGGAGGCAAAGGTTCTGCACTGGGTGCAGCCTGGGGCTGGGAGAGGACCCGTGGGCTTCAGAGAGGAGGCGTTGACCCCATACATACAAGAAAGTAAGTCAGGGTGAAGTGGGAGGAGACCTCGAACCCCAGATCCACCTGTGCCAGTGAGCAGAGGCACCAGGGTAGTGCCAAGACTGCCATGTGGAGAGCTGGGAGGCAGCCTGCACAGGAGGGCTGTCCCTCCCTACAGCTCTGACCCCAGTTCTCCAAAGGCCTCTGGGACAAGCAGCTGCTGAGAACCATCCCCGCCCAAGGGCAGGGCCGGTGATCAGAGGCCCGGGGACAGTGTCCCCCATTTTTTAACAGCAAGGCAAATGTGAGACACCGCCCCACAGGACGGTGGACCTGTCACATGGAAACCCAGGAAGATGACGGCAGGCTGGGCAAGGGGTCCTTCACCAAGAGCGGCCAAGGTGGCGGTCCAGGCGAGCAGGACCCAACTACAGCCCCCCTCAGAAGCCACCAGCCCAGGGACAGCTCTAGGAGCGCCTGGAGGTGGAAGGCGGCAGAGGTGACCAGCGTGGCACATGGGGTTGGGCCTTGGACGCTGGGAAGGTGTCCTCATCTTTGGAATAGCTTTAATTTTTTTCTCTTTAAGAGATGGGGTATCCCTGTGTTGCCCAGGCTGGTCTCAAACTCCTCGGGTCAAGTGATCCTCCCAAAATGTACTGAATATATATATATACATATATTTTTTTTTTTTTTTTGAGACGGAGTCTTGCCCTGTCGCCCAGGCTAGAGTGCAGTGGCGTGATCTCGGCTCACCGCAACCTCCACCTCCCAGGTTCAAATGATTCTCCTGCCTCAGCCTCCTGAGTAGCTGGGATTACAGGCACCCACCACCACGCCCAGCTAATTTGTGTATTTTTAGTAGAGATGGGGTTTCACCATGTTGGCCAGGGTGGTCTTGAACTCCTGACCTTGTGATCCACCCGTCTCGACCTCCCAAAGTGCTGAGATTACAGGCGTGAGCCACCGTGCCCAGCTGAATATTTTTAAAGTCTTAAATAAAGTCATTCGAAATGGGGTCCTATGATTGCTACTCCAGCCTTATGAATCCTTTCTGGGTTTTAATGTTGCACGTTATTCTAACAAAGCCGAATGTGTATCTATTTCCCCAGGAATGCACATGGACCTTCCCAGGGAAGCTGAAGGCTGTGGGGTGGGTGGGAGCAGGAGGAGACCTCTCTCATGAGAAGCGGGCCCTGCTCATTGGGCTGAAAAGCCATAGGAGAGGCTCCAACCAGCAGTCCCAACCCCAGGGGACCTCTCTGGGGCCACAGGCATCATCGGGCTAGAAAAGTCCCAGAGACATGAGTAGGCTCAAGTGTGTTCTAATGGGACGGAGAGTCCTAAGTCCGCAGCCTAAACCGGCAAGCCCTTCCCCATGTCACATTCGGCCACGCAAGGGGACACTCAGACACACGGTGACCAGCCTGGCCGACTGGACTTCAGGGGGACAGCATGTGGCCGCCCATCCGTGGGGCCCCGGAGGCAGGTGACCACAAACACGACAGCCAAGGGACACGCTTCCCAGTCAGAATGGCACGGAGTTCCGGTCCTCCAGGCCCATCGACAGGGCCCCCAGGGATTGAGGCTCAGTGTACAAACCCCCAAGCCAGGCCCCAAGGGTCAGCCTGGTTCAGCCAGCCTCCACATCGACGGTCCCCTGACCCCCCTCATGTCAACCAGAGCACATCCCCTCAACCCAAACTTAACAGAGCAACAATTCCCATGAGAGAGCCGCAGAGATGCCAGGAGCCCCAGGAGCCAGGTGGGGCATGGCCGGCCGGGAGAGAGGCCCTCTTCCTCTTGTAACAAACCAAGGGTCCCTGGTGTCCCAGGCTCCTACAGCGTCTTGAGGTGACTCAGACCGATGGGCGGTGGCTTGGCCTCTCACCACCACAGGTTCGGCGGTTCCTCGGCCACTCTGCTCTTAAATAAGGTGATCTCATCCAGGTGCACCAGAGGGACGTCCCGGATGACGTCGGTCAGGCCCTCGTGGAGCAGAGGGAAGATGACGACGTTCAATGCGGGCCGCTCAGCCTGGAAGCTGAACCAGAGACAGGTGGTCAGCGGATTACGTGGGTGGCCACGGAGGGGGCAGAGCCTGCCGGGGGGGCCCAGGAGGCACTCACAGCTGCCCCCGCCACCCGGGCTCACCTGGGGCTCCCGGAGAGACCAGGCCTGCTGCGAGAGTCACCCTCTATGTGCCTTGAGGGCCCCGTACGTGGCAGCCAGAGCTGAGGAGGAGCAGGGCAGCCGGGAACAGGCAACACGCTTCTCTCCAGGTTCAGGGGGCACCTGCTCCATGCCAGCCACGAGTATCAGAGGCCCCAGAGGCCAACCCTGCTCTGCAGATGCGGGAGAGCTGCCAGGACAGGCTGCCGTGCTCCGAGGCAGCAGAGGGACCCCACTGCAGAAGTGGCAAATTCAAGGCACCTGGCCCATGGACGTCCCACGGCCAGGACAGAGAGAAGGGACAGGTGTCCATACCCCACAGCCGCACGTGGGCCACCTCAAGGGGGTGCGACTCCCAAGTCAGTGAGGCAGCAGCAGTCACTAGGAGGAGCAGATACCAAAGCGGCTACTCGGGAAAAGCACACGTTTGACCTCATGACAAATGGCAGGTGGGCGACGCTCCCAAAGCCCCCGCCCCCAGGCGACCAGCCTACATGCATGAAAACTCATGCACAATTGCCACAGGGTGCCCACCGAGTGCCAGGCACGGCTCTGAGCTCTACAGACATGACCTCATTTTGCCTTCCCCACAACCCTACAACGAGCCACGGTCCCCCAGCGGACCATGAAGCAGAGCAAGGATTCCCCCCGCCAGTCAGAGCAGGTCACCAGCACAGTCCTACTGGCCCTATTTGGCCAAAATGCAATGCAAGCCGGGCACTGTGGCTTGCTCCCGTAATCCCAACACCTGGGAGGCTGAGGTGGGAGACTCGTTTGAGGACAGGAGTTCCAGAACAGCCTGGGCAACATAGGGAGACTCTGTCTCTATAAAAAATATTTAAAAATTAGTAAGGCATGGTGGCGCATGCCTGTCACCTCAGCTACTCAGGAGGCTGAGGCAGGAGGATCACTTGAGCCCCGGAGGGAGAGGCGGCAGTGAGCTATGATCACACCACTGTACTCCAGCCTGGGCAACACAGTAAGACCCTGTCTCTAAAAAAAAAAAAAAAAAAGAAAGAAAAGAAAATGCAAAGACCCAAGTGTCAGCCCAGGAGCTCCAGGCAGAGGGAAAAACATAGCAGTGCCCCAGAGAGCAAGACAAAAACATCCAGGCCGGGCGCAGTGGCTCACGACGGTAACCCCAGCACTTTGGGAGGCAGAGGCAGATGGATCACCTGAGGTCAGGAGTTTGAGACCAGCGTGGCCAACATGGTGAAACCCCATCTCTACTAAAAATACAAAAATGAGCCGGGCGTGGTGGCGGGTGCCTGTAGTCCCAGCTACTCAGGAGGCTGAGGCA